CTCTGCCTGCGGGAACTTCAGTTATTTCAACCTGTCTACATGTGAGCCTGTTTTGCTTATTAAAGTACCTTCACTGCACCCACCAGTCTTTGTGTGTGTCCATATTTGGGTCCACCATCACCCAGTCTGCACTTTGTTTGAAGAGGAACGTTATGATTTGGTCCATACCCTTGAGTGCATTAATGGAGAGTTCAAAAGAGACTCTAGTAGGGAGTACAAAGAGGTTGCTGTTGTTAAAGAATCTGGCAAAAAATAATTGGCATGCTGCGCCTTTCTTTACCAGATATCTATAATAGACAAGTTCTGAGGAAGGCACTGTCAGTCTGGTCTGCTCTGACCACCCAGGTCCCCCAGAGTTAGGAGCAATAGGTTTAAATATTTCTTTGTTCCATGGTGCACTTAATTTGCACTAAACATTGTGACTGCACTGCTCAGCAGCACTTTATTAGAGCTACTATGGCATAGTTGTTTGACTGCAGTAATTGATGTATGATGTCTTTTATGTTGTTGGTTTGCCCTTTTCTGTAAATCACATTTCCTCTTGATGGACAATAAAGATCTCTGACCTCTGAACTGAACTGCTATGTGTTTGGCATGCAGGGAAGTATCCAAAAAAACATGGTTAAAAGGTTTGTTACCAGAGTGACTAAGTGACTTTTCTAACACCCGTCTCTGTGTGCTAGCTACCAGCCTCTTTTATTGTCTACTCACCTGCTGCCTATTCAGCTAACCTCTAGCCTGAATCCCAGGAAGCAAATACCAAGCCAACAAGCCTCTGACCTGTTTTCCAGCCTGCATCCAAGCCTGCTAGCCTCCGGTCTGCATCCCAGTTGACTAGCCTCAGGCCTGCTAGCTTCCAGCATGCTAAACACCAGCATACTATCCTTCAGCCTGTATCCCGGGTCTGCGTGCCTCAAGCATGTTAGCCTCCAGTCAGCCTCCAGTCTGGACCCCAGTTGACTGCCATCATCAGAGTCAGGGTTCCTGACCAACGTATTGTCTTTGTTTAAGCCCGTTCCTGAGTTTCCTTCCAAATATGTCCAGCCGGATCTCCAGTTGACCACTTCCTCAGCACCCCAGGGGTCTGCCTGTCCTGCTGCCCTCCTCTTGCCCTGCACCCTGCCTTGCCTTAGAGCTCCAGTCTCTTGGCAGACCTCTATAGCAGTCCGGCCTACTGCAATGGCCTCCAAAGCCCATAGGTGTCCTTCTCAGTCCCTCCCAAGTCCTCTTGCTGAGATAACCAGCCCCATTACTCTGCTATCTGTCCACTGGTTGGTGGTCCACAAGTTTTGCTTGCTGACCTGCCTGAACTTTTTATTAAAGTAGCTTCACTTCACCCACAAGTCTTTGTGTGTGTCTGCATTTGGGTTAAGCTTAGAGTTAGGTTAGCTCCAGAGATCCTGTGTGGAGATAGGAGAAACTTCCAGAAGGACAACCATCACTGCTGACACATGAAAGCTGCAAAAAAGCACCTAATGACTCCGACTGTGAGAAGCAAGATTATATAAAAGCAAGACTGAGCTTTTTGGTCTCAATTTTAAGCATCTTGTCTGAAGGAAACAAGGCACCACTCATGCTGTGGAGGTGTTTTTCAGGTGCAGGGTTAGGGAAAGCTGAATGGAGCAAAGTACCAAATTATCCTTAATGAAAACCCGGTCCGAAGCACAGAGGACCTCGAACTGGGCCAAAGGTTCACCATCCAATAGGACAATGACCCTAGTCACACAGCCAAGATGCCAGAGTAATTTAGGGACTTGAAACCAATTAAACATCTCTGGAAAGACCTGAAAATGGCTGTCCACAGATAGTGAGCTTGAGAAGATCTGCAGAGAAGAATAGAAGAAAATCCCCAAATCCAGGTTTGCTTATCACATCATACCCAAGAAGACTTGAGGCTGTCATCACTGCCAAAGGTTTCTCAACTAAGTACTGAGCAAAAGGGTCTGAATCCACATTTCAGTGTGATATTTCAGTTCCTTTTTAATAAATTTGCAAAAATGTCTAAGATTCATTCAAATGTGTATTCTTTTTTTAAAACTGATAAACCACAAGAGAATATTACAGTTGGTACATTGTCCAGTCATTATCCAGGTTTGAGAAAAAGGCAAGTATAGTTAGGATCTTGAGTTGAATCTGTTTGACCAGTTTCCCTGTGAGCTAGACAATATAAATCACTAGTTTCGGCCTTGAAAAAACCAATACACAAAAGCAAGGCACTGCAATATTGTGTGTTTTAATGATGTACCAATTCTTATAAGGAATTTATGGATCCCTTTCTATTTGTCATCTGCTTCTTTTGTATGCCACAGCTCCACGGTTAAAAAGATCACAATTCTGCAACACAAATGTGTTACAAGTGGTTAAAATGCTGTCCTTAACATTTGTTGGAGATTGAAGGCTAAGAAATGGCATCGTTGAAAAACTTCAAGGCTTTGTGGGCTGATTCTGAGAATGTCAAAAATTCACTCTAGCAGAAGGTATTTAGGAATTATGTTGTGTGTGTGCCTTCAATATTAAAGGCATTTGTGTTTCACAGTGGTAAAGGATATCGCATTTCTGTGCCAACAGAGTATGTCAACACTGTGCTGTGTGTGCAGAGTGTGGTGGAAATCGGGTCAACTTTACTAGACAAACAAGTATTAAAACTGAACAGAGCAAAGCTGCACGGATGATGGATGTGGTTGATTTGCATTCAGCTGCAGAATCTGGATTTCCTCAACACTAAAGGCTACATGTTGGCCATATGAAATAACAGGGAAAATTAGCTCCGGAAGCATATTAATTATGTGCATACAAGCTTTTGCTAAGCATCCCCTTAGTTTTCTCTGCACACAGAGTTCTGCCTGTCTGTAGTGTGGCCTGACAAAACTCACTGCTGGACTTTATTGTACTTGGCATAAACCTTTGCAGCAGCATCTGCTGAATATAAGTGTGCGTGGTGGTGGTGTGTGTGAGTATATTCATGCGTTTATGTGTCTGACACAATGTATGTGACATACCTTTCTTCAGGCAAAGCTTCCTCCTCTTGCACCTCCATGGCTGTAAATTTGAATTCCGCCCTGTCCCCTTTCCCTCCCTGTCTATTTTTATGTTTCACACACACACACACACACACCCTTAACCATGCGCAGCAGTGCCTGGGAACCAGCCATTGTAACAAACACCTCAAGGCAGACACCCCTTCTATGGCAGACACCCCCTCTATGGCAATCTTCCATCTCTCCATCTCTCTCATGCAACAACACACACTCTCTCAAAGGCAAACAGAGGGACATACTGTACATGTGCAGTTCAAAAATTATGAGCTTGTACAGCATTACCAGGAGGAGAACAGAAAGTCTCTTCTTTGCTTCATCTTGTTTCCTTTTTAAGTCGTTTCCAAATGCATAAATCCCCAAATGCAAATCTTCTGTTCATGTATGTCACGCTGTGGTAGTTGCTATGAACACTGATGAGAAAACTAAAATAAAAACTAAAAATCATATATCTGCTAGCTGTAATCTGTCTCATCAGTTCTCTTGGTCTGGTAAACAGAGATAGAAGATCAATGGTGCACACACACACACATCCACAACTACGATAAGTGTACATATGATTTCAATTCCAGGGTCTCTTGTGAAACAGCAACCAAATGAACATATGACAGCGATAGCACCTGCTCATGGTTCTGCAGATAAGGAAGATGTAATAAGTGTGTCCACACTTTTAGCAGAGACACCCACACACCACTCGCACACAAACAAAGTAAACAGAGCACCAAAGAGTGAGATGAATACAGAGTGGAGGAGAGCCATTCAAAGTAGAGAGTGGGATGCAGATGAGACGCCTACACCAGACTGAAGAGAGAGTCAGTAAGAGAAAGAGAGACAGAGGATGAAATGGAATACCAGACTGACAGTGCTGCGAGGGAATACCAATTAATTTAACTATTCATATGTTGTGTCGCCATAATTAATGAAATCTCTTTCAAAGCTAAAAACTTGAATAAGAATTTATGTCACTTGTGGAAAGCTGTCCATACAGTATCTTACACTAATGTCCATGTTAGTATCCTTAATGTTTAAAGTCTTAAAGGTCCCATATTGTATAAAGTGAGGCCTCTGTCTTTTTTGATTATAAAGCAGCCCAAGGTTCCAAAATAATACTGTGGAAGTATCAAAGCGCTCAGTCCACAGAGAAATGCACACAGCCTGTATTCAGGAACTGACCCTTAAATCCATCAGTCAGGAAGTCTGTAACTTTGTGATGTCACAACAAAGCAATCACCGCCCACCTGGACCCACCATCCAACGTTGCAGGATTTGGTTTCTCTGAGTGTTTACCTGAAATCTGCTATATTTTTATTCGCTCACTCAGAAAACAATCAACCAATTAGAAGAGAGGCTCAGATCCTCTCTTCTGATTGGCTGACTCACCTGTTGTTAGTAGAGCTCCAGAGAGAAGCCTGAGAGAGGAGATGTAAAACACACTGAGATGGTTTTTGGTTCTTAAAACCATTAATATATCTTCTTATGGATCAACACTTCAAATACAACACAGAAAAGTGTAAAATACGCAACCTTTCAATATTTTTATTCTAATTTGTCCATTTTGTTTTCAGAGCATGTTCATGTGTTCAGTAAAGTACCACAAGATCTCACCAACACAGATACAAGAGATGATTTAGTTTCCTCTGCAAGAACAAAAAATGTGTCTGTGAAAAGACCACTGAAAAATAATCCTGCAATTTTCACCTTCAGATTGACTGAGAGTAAAAATACAAACAAGAGACCTATAGACCGTGGAAACACACCATTACACTACAATCATTTTGCCGTGGCTTTTGCAGACACACTCGTCGGCCAGTTTAGTTCACTGCTGAAGGACACTTTGACATGTGAATGGATTCTTTTCATCTCAAATGTAAAGGTTGAATGTATCTATGACAAGTATTGACTGTTGATGTGAAGAACAGCTGACTGAGTGTGTTGACCACTGTCATTCTTTATGTTTGGTTGCAGGCTTAATTCGTTTGCGCTCCAGCCCACCCCCTCGCCTCCAGGGTGTAGAATATGTCCTCAATGTTACAGCAACGGATGACAATGCCTCAGGCGGACCTCAGGCATTGTCATCAACTGCCCAGGTCGTAGTGGGAGTGGACGATGTGAATAACAACAAGCCCGTCTTTGAGAAGGTAAGACAGGCAATCACACGTACATCATTAAACATTGTTTAGTCTTGCTCATTATCTGTTTGTGTCTGAAAAGGTCTCGGATAAGCATCTGCTCTCCTGGTCTTTTTTTTTAATCTTCTCCTCAATATATCTCAATGACTTCTCACTATATCCTTTTCTTTACTAGTTCTCTTTTTCTGCCTCTGTCTCTCCATCACTCCTCTTTCTGCCTCTCTTTGTCTTTCTATCTCCTCTATTTATTAGTCTCTATCTCTCCTCTCTGGAGGGGCGATTAGCCGGCTTGACCCTCATCTCTGCTCTCTCGTCTCTCTCCTACATCATCTCGGTCTTTTAATTAAAGCTTTGAGGGATGTGGGAGAAATCCCGACCGACCTGCTCTAAAACTGCGACGTCTCCACCTGCTTTTTTCTACCCATGTCTCAATTTTAAATGAGGTGACTTTTCTTGCCCCCCAAAGAATCATGAGCCAAGATTAGGAGCGCAGGCTTAGTGAGTAAACCTCGCTCGCTCCCTCCTCGGGGGAAAAGTGAGCGCCAAGTGTTTCCCTTTTGGCTTCACCCCTCAGCAGGAAGAAATGGAGGGATAGGTGACAAGATGAGAGCCAAGAGAAAAGAGAGAAGAGGAGAAGAGAGGAATTCCTGGTCCACAGTGTTTCATGTGTTCTGTATACTCAATTGTGTCTCTCAGGAATCTCCTGCTGGCATCATGCTACAAGTCTATGATTCATTCTCTTCTCTCTGCTGGCAGGATGATGATTGCAATAGACAAAAAAGTCCCTGGCCTCTCTCCACTCCCCATGTCTAAGTCAAAGAGAGAACTTGAAAAAAAGGAAAAGACAGATAAATGAAAAAAAGAAATTAAGCAAATGCAAATTTGAAGCGAAAACTGGACAAACACTGTTGTTTATTTGTGTGTCCTTGGTCAAAGATGGGCAAAGAAACCAAGGGAAAAAGTACAAAAGAAAAGAGAGAACAGGCTGAACGTGAAAAGTAAAAGAGGCTGTGCATTGGTGTCTCTGTTAGTAAAGACATTCGAGGTTAGTTGGTGTTTCCTTTGTCGCTGGCAGCCGGCAGCAGAACACTGAAGCAGAAAGGCCCTTTTATCTTGTTTTGATGCTCAATCTTATAACACACTGTAGCCTCACTGGAAATCAGTGCTGGATCAGTGCACTAAGACAGAAGAGGACCAAGAAACACACACACAGACAGAGGTCCAGAAAGGCGAGATATTGAATACAACCAGAGCCTGCATCTCCCCGTAGTGTAAGCTTCAAACCACAGACACATTCACTCACAAGCATTGACTACATTTATTTATTAATCTTTAAAACTCCTGTGAGTCTGTGACCCTCCATCCTATGGGGTTTGTTCACATACCTTTTTATATTTGTAGTAGAAAATAATACCCAGGTTGGACATTCATTACATTATTTTTATGTCATGATCTTCCCCATGTAACTTTCCCTGTTATTCCCTGTTTTATTTTGAAATATCTTTCCAGTTGTGTTTATGGTTTTTACTTCCTGCCCCGGTTTGATTCCCGCCTACATGATCCCAAATACCTGTTCTGCCCTATTGTGTTTCACTTGTGTCTCATTACCTGTGTCCCAAATCGGGCTGCATTGTTTGGGGGATGCGGCCTACAAAGGCTTGGCCTCCGGAGACTGTGGAGACTGCAAAAGCTAAACTGAAATGAGACAGTCTGGTCTATGGAGGATTTCCTATTCATCCTTGGCCACTGTTTTATTTGCAGAGTCCACCTCTCTCAATTCTCTTATTGAAAAGTGATTCATCACCGGCGCACAAAGAATGTTGGGATTGGTTGCGCTTCGTTGCCCAGGAAATGAAGGACACATTTGAAGGAGCCTTTGAAATGGAACAGCCTTGTCATGTTTCTGGGATGCAATTGGTCTTCAAATGCAGCTTTCGATGGATGCAGCCCCTGAATTGAGACACAGCTGTTGTCTTCCCCTCACTCATTGTCAGTTCTTCTGTTTGGTACCTGTTCTGTTCCCTTGTGTTTCCTCGTTCTTCACTTTTGTTATTTGTTCATGTATTCGAGTTCCAGTCTGTAGTTTGGAATACCTAAAGTGGGATTTCCAGAGTTTTGCTCGCCTGCCAGAACTTAAGTTCTTCTACCCATCTGCATATAAGCCAGTTTTGCTTTATCAAAGTACATTCACCTACCAGCCTTCATAAATGTCCCACTCACTCTATGCTGCTTACCTGGGATCATGGTGGCAGCACAGCAAGTAAGGTAGCTAAGATTTTCAACTACCGAGCCACATTTTCCAGCTCCTCCTGAGGCGTCCCAGGTGTTCCCAGGCCTGATTGGATATTGCTCCAGCGTGTTCTCGTTCTGACCAGCGTTCTATTCCTACTGTCCACACCTCAAGTGGCTCTTTTCAACAAAAATATCTTATAATGAAAATTGGGAAATGGCCTGTTTCTCCATCACTGTCCGTCTCTATGAGTGAAATTCTTTCAGTGGCCAACAACTTAGTTCTTCGCACCACAGTCTTTGTCCTCATGTTAGCTCATCTTAATTAAAAGAAACTGGAGGAGTGGGGGGCATTGATATCAACTGATGTCTTACAGTCTCCAAGGGTGAACCCAGCCATGCTGCAAAGAAAAACTCATTTGTGCTTTTGCTGCTTGTGTCTGCAATCTCATTCTTTTAGCCTTTGACTAAACCTCATGATCAGAGATGAGCGGGTGAACTTTGATCATCTGGTTAGTCCAGAGTTTTTCTTTCAAACTGAGGTCCTTCTTTGGCATGACAGTCTAGGACAGTGCCCACATTAGTGCTGACTAAGCCACTGATCAACCTCACATTCCATCTTACCCTCACAGAACCAGTACCATAGTGTTAGACTCGAAGGTGCTGACTGTCAACCCAGCTGCTCACGGTATCTTTTTGTGTTTGGACTTATTGTTGTGTTTGTTTGATATGGAATATCTCATCTTCACTCCCTGTGCATAGTTCGTTTATCCTTCTGATTAATTGCGTAGGTGAATGTCTGTTTTGCAAACCTGCATATCTTCACCAAACCAAACTCCTTCCATAATCTGATGAAGGCATAAAGAAAAATGCTATTCAACAGTAACTACATACTGGAGGTAAAAGGTAGAAAACCCCTATGATGACTACAGAAGGAATGGTTGAAAAGGTGGAGAAAGGTGAAGCATTGTTGCATGATAGAAGAATGTAGGAAATAAATGAAATGATAGGAAGAATAAGAGAAGGAATACAGAGAGGGAACATGAAAAAATTAACAGAAAAAAGGTTCCCCTGTCATTAATTAGATGCCAAAAGAAGGCATCAACGGCAGCACTGAGGGATTCCTTCTCTTCTGTCTCTGTTGCACATCAGCTTCAACGCTCCGGTGACTCATGGAAAAAAAAAAAAAAGGAAAAATAGTTGATGGAGACAGAGCAAGAGAGAGCGAGAAGAGAGACCAGAGAGAGAAGAATGTGGGTAGAGAGAATAGAGAGAGTGAGTGAGAGACAGACAGGGTTCAGATGAGGATAATAAAGCTCTTTCTGTGTCTGGGTTCTTAAAGATTTTGTCAATCACTGAACTTGTCAAACACGGAGCAGCTACCTTGCATCACACCAAGAACTTACGGCACTGAATGAATCTCTAAGATGACTCCAGTAATTCATGTGGTATTCAATGGAGACGAGGGTTAATTGTTTTAGAATTTGAACTTCCCTGGAATATACATGTTTTTTTTATCTCTTTTCTCACCATTTAAAACACAAGATGGCAAATAATCATAAAATGTTTTTACTTCTCATTGTCGGTTGTTGGTTATCCTTTCATATTCATTAAATTATGTGGTACATTTTATACATTTTTTTCTTTATTACAGCACAACATTCCTCGTAAAAGTATACATCCTTTGATATGGAAGGGATACAGTGCCATCCATACTGTACACAATCTGTTTCCGGCATATCCTCTTATGGTTATGTCGGAGTGGTTTTATGGAAGCGACCATGTTTGCAATGCTGAGGTGAGGTTATTACTGCATACAATGGAAGGGATGGAAAATCAGTTGCATGCAGTCTCTTTGACGTGATGTTTCTTATGCAAAGAGGCATTGTTCTTGGACCTTTAGTTGTGATGGTTGGGCTATCCTCTGCACCCCGCCATCTTGAAGAAATATTGTGTCACTGTCCATTATACAGTTCCTCTTGTATGGGCAGTTTATAATGCATTGAAATATTTAGTGTTACATGTTACGAAATTAGTTGACCTTAAGCAGCATGCGTAAATAGTGGACTTCTATCTATTCTAAAGAGAAAGGTTTTATTAAGCAGGCAGATATACCTAATTCATTTTTTAGTTCTTGTAACATCAGGTTGCATCTTTTTTGAATACAACTGCAGCTTTTTTTTTTTTTGTACACTGCTAAAGGCTCTCTGTGAAATGTTTTGGACGGCACTATACACATCGGGTGCCAAAAGATCAACCTATTTCATGTTTACCAAAGTGCGGGTGGTACAGTGAGCACATCACAAAGCAGCTATTGAGCACCTTTGCCCAAAGGGTGCTGGGATACGTTCCAAGACCCCTGAACCCACTACCACCATCTACCATTAACAGGTGGACACAGTGGACCCAGGGTTCTCACTGTATTTCTGTATTTTTCCATTATTTTGAGTCCATGTTACACTTTTTGTCTCACCAATACATAATCTTTACTCTGTCCTTTCAAAATAAATAACATTCCACCTCCCACACAATCTTGCTTACAGTTTCGATAGAATGGAGTATTGATCTAAGTTTCCCTGCACTTACATTGCCACAATCTTCTCTTCCTCCCACCTTTCCTCTCCCCCCGCTGTCTCATTCTATTCAGTGTCAGCAGTACCGAGAGAGCACGTCAGTCCTGGAGAACCAGCCAGCGGGGACGTTCGTTCTGCAGGTTCATGCTGTGGATGCTGACGAGGGCTCCAATGGCAGGGTCACATACGGCTTCATGCACAAAGACTCCACTGTGCCGGCGTTCAGCATACACCCTGACACTGGTACTGAAACGCACACAAACTCACTTTCACTTGCACAAACCTACAAATACAATTCATCCTGGTAGGAAGTCTTGTGTAGACTTAGTTCCTTTTAGCATGCCTTGTGCAGCAAGGCATGCGTGGTTGTTTACAAGTTTATAAGTTTGCAATTAAAAGCTAAGATATTAGATCAATTTTAGTATCAAATACACAGTAATTGTCATTTTACAGCTAAAAGAAAGGATCATAATTCAAAGCCTAGTGGCTGGATGTACAGTATAGTAAAGACTGTAGTATTTGGGTTAGGTTGGGGTTAAAACGTAAGGGTTAGGGTTAGGGTTAGTCAAACATACAAAGATGTAGGAGTATGCATGCTTTCATCCCAGTGGGAAGTCTTATGCAGGTTTTATTTAATTTGAATTCCCTTCACAAACCAGAAACTTTACAGAACTTTGCTGTTCTTGTGTTTTAAAAGTTTATTTCAGGTTAACTCAAAGTATACTCTGATTTTAAAAACTGGCACCAAAATCAAAAGGAAAATGTATCACCAACAACAATCCAAAGGCCAAAAACTGCAGCGTTGAGCCTGTGCACGTCTTTCCCATGTGTTTGCAAAGTTGCTTGGTCATGTCAAAGGCTTAGGCATAATGCCAAAAAGTGAACATCAAGAGGTCTATGTACAACATAAAATAACCTTTCATTTTCAGTAGCAACAGTATTTTTAGTAGAGCAGGAAATATTGTAAATGTCATCACTAACATCATTTGTAAAATAAATAATGAAGATAATTTCCTTTGGATTTGATGATAACTACTTTTGAAAAACTCTCATGTCCTTTCCTATTTTGTCTAGTCTTTAAAGTTTAGCCTCAAGGCAAACAGAGGAAATCATTTTAGTGTTAAATTGCCAATGCTCTGGGGACATGAGACCAAGCGGTGTTTGGGATGATTTAGCTGTCAGATCAACCTTGTTATCTTTGTGTCTCCAGGAGTAATTGTGACAGCCAGGAAATTTGACCGCGAACGCCAACGGGAGTATGCAGTGACAGTGACCGCCACTGACCAGGCAGCTGACCCACTGATTGGCATTTGTCAGCTCAACATCCTCATCTTGGACCAGAATGACAACAGTCCCAAGTTTGAGAACATCCGATATGAGTGTAAGTAAATATTTGTATATATTAAATGTGAAGTAAAGGTGACTGACAGATCTCACCCCACTGCAACTTACAGTAAGAGAACGCATACAAATGGACGAGAGCAAAGGAAGCCCTGTCTCTTACAAATTATGCTTCTATACGGATGAACTGTAACAGCAAAAATATGATTTGCAGTAAACATGATCACTGGCTGGATTATGTTCAGGGGCAACATATTTTTTGAATGAATGACGGGCTATATTTATTTATGGCAGAGGTATCACCAGAGGCGGTTGGGGTGGATGCCGGATATACTGTACAGTATAAAGCCAAGCATTAACCTCCCTGGCTGAAAAATGAAGCCAAACGTTGAAGTGCCAAAAACTGCAGATCCTCGAATGGCCACTAGAGCCTGGCCCCAAAAGTTAGTTAGTCCCCTTGGACTTCAATGTTAAAATGCCCAACATGGATACACCCTGGTATGAAAAACGGCTGTGGTCACTATAGCTAATTCCCCCCTTCATGACAACTGTACGAGCGGTGAATTTTTATATAAGTCACCCATTGAAATTTTGTTACGGCTTAAAGTTATGCATAATTTTGGTTGTGGCCGCTTTGAGTGACAAGTGGGTGCTGTCACAGTCGATTCAGTCCCTGAACGTGACCTCAGTTTGTGGTGTTGGAGCCTTTTGAAGGATTTGTCTTGGAAATATTGGACTAATAACGTGGCTCTGTGTGCGGTTAATCGACTAACAGAGCGCGAGAAGGTCTGTGGTCCTGCTTTTTGAGGTGAGTGAAACTCTAATGTTATTCGTACATTAACGTTAATTAGCATACCTGGCTTGTTAGCTTAGCTCGTTAAGAAGCTAATTAGCGAGGAAATGAATTAGCCTTGGGCTAACCTTCGAGCAAGACGCCCAGCTGCTCGCCACCATAGACATATAGGCTATACATAAACGCCATGGCCATTCAAATACATTGCTGCAATACTTTGAACGTCGCTCCCATATTGGACTTACATTTTTCAGACGATGTAAATGAGTCGTTTTTATATTCGAGGGTTTATTATCTACATTTTATCCACAATTACATAGAAAAGTTTTGTCTCCAGTTACTTATAATCGCGATAGTTTAGGCTGTAATTGCTGTTTCCATAAAGATGAATGTGTGTCAACGTAAGGTTTACATCAACTTAATTACTTATGTGGTGGAAAATAATTCATTGTGATAAGGAATTGCCAAAACTCACATTTGATGAACATGGTTTTGTCTTATATTCCTAGGCTTGTGACGACTTCCCTATATAATGTAATGTACATGAAATGTACAGTTTTTATATTGTGGAAATGGCTTCTTCTTTTTATTTACCCATTGTTTTAGCTTTTCTCGTGCTTTAGGTCAGAACACAGAATATTTAGGATATTAATAATAATAATAATGATAATAATAATAATGATATGCTATACTGCAGTACTATACTGTTGTCTATCGGTGTACTACTACTACATCTCACTTAATACTATATTACAGTTATATTCCATATTGTACTGTACAATTTGATTACTTTTTTTTTTTTTTTTTTACCATAGATTATCACGTAATTATGTTATACTGCTTTAACATCTGAATTTTGCCTCTGGGATCAATAAACGCATATCTCAACTTATATTTGTTTTTCTCTGTAATTGTCTGCCTATCCTTTCAATGCTATGGAAATATAGAAAGCAGACTGACTGCCATAGCCTCTCACTATCTTACTTCATTTATCTTATTTATTGTATTCTCTAGTTGTAACAATTCCTTATGACAGTGAATTATTTTCCACCACTTAAGTAATTCAGTTCATGTAAATCTTCATCAGTAGCATCATAAACCCTTGAATATAAAAAGGACTCATTGAAATTGAGAAATGTTAACGTTAATAGTGTTTTTTTTTTTTTATCCAGAGAAACTTTATCTCCTCCATTTATTTGTGTTTGTTTACAGGCCAGTCTTGTCCGGTCTAATATGGTAGTGATGTTGTCATCCAGCGGCCAATACAGTCTCTACGTATACATGTCAATGCTTGCCACAGTTATTAAACTGGCATGCACCGAAGTCGCCATTCCACACGCTGCCCCTCTTTGCCCATTTTTGATTAGCCAGGAGTGAAGTGGAGTCAGGCACTGCTAAGATGGTGACAGTGGAGCAGCCCGCTCTGAGGTTCACAACCGCAGAAAAATATGTTGGATGTCATGGTGATATCATGATGTCATTGATCTTTATTTACAGTCTATTTACAAAGCACATGAATGTCACAGCAGAGATTGGGGTTCCCAGCTGTTGTTTAGGCAACCAAAGCTTACTCAGTATCAATGTATTTGCAGCTTGTCAAACTAATAAATGTAGCGGAAATCCTTAGCCTGGCATCAGTCACAAGCGATTAAAGAAGTTCATAGTAAGGACGTGTAGAGTTATGGATCCAAAAATGTCGCCCTTCTAACTCTTCCCACCATCAAACTATCAAATTTATAGCAAACAGAGACAAAGGATCCTTCTCTCACAAACTTTTACCATGTCAGAGAGATGTACAACCAGACCATGGGTCAAGTGGTCAGCTCCAGAGGATCACCAAATTCCGAACAGGAATATATCCAGTTACAGTGCAACTCACAGTAGGCGAGATCTTAATATTGTGCTCATGACTGGATTGATGTTCAGATAAAAATTAAATCATATTTAATCATCAAATTTCATTTGAGGACATCTTAATGTCATTTAGTATAGCCATATAGTAAATAGACAAAACATATTCTCTTTAACCATTGCCCAATTCATTACACAGTTCATTTTACCCGCTATTGATTAGCTGTATTATTTTGCTCCACTTTTCATGGTGGGGATTATGACACATTGCATTTATCCTGTATTAGTTAACATTTGATAAATGTATTTATTTAAACTCATTATTCAGACATTGTCATGTTGCGTTCCTTTGAAGTAGAGACTGGAGATCCATTGAATCAAGGCTTCTGATTGGCTTTATCATATTAATCAATACATTTATTAATCAAAGTGCTTCCCTTGAAGTGGGAAGTGATGCCCTCATTAACAAGGATTTTTAATTTTTAAAGTGTCTTGTAAAATAACATAAATTAACAACATCTCCTCATTACAATAATAGACAATTCAAGTTTTGTACAAAATGTATTTGCTGTTGCAGTTGTAATTTTTAGGAGACAGGGTTGACTATTGTGACAACTAAAACGGACAAACATGGATATTAGTTGAAAATGTTTAATTTAGCAACATTGTGATGGCATGATTCCAGTATCGGGCTTCAGGAGATATTGGCATGACCCAACATGAGCCGATAACTAATTATGAGTGTGTTCATCAGGTTTTTTAGTCCCCCTGTTATGTGGTGTAGCTGAAGTTGCATTTTGTTCTGTATGGTTTGGAGTGTAAATGTATTTTTGTTCTCTATTTGCAGTGTGCTTCTTTATGCAGCATATGTGTTGTCAAATTGGTGAATGTCTTTCCTAATTATATTGTGTTTTATTTGTTTGCAGTGTTTTTCCAAATGTGCTGTCAGAGTGGTGAAGAATTTTCTTCATTTATTTGTGTTTTCTTAAGTTACAGCACATTGAGCATACAGTTAAAAGACAACAAATTAAGGCCCTTCATACATAACCACCGAAGCATTAACCACACTTCTTCTTCTCCGTAGACTTCCTTCGTGAGGATACCATGATCGGGACTAGTTTCTTGAGGGTGGCAGCTCATGATGATGACTTTGGCACCAATGCAGCCATCACCTACTCTATGTCCAGTGAACAGCCGGAATACCTCAGGGTCAACCCGCTGACAGGCTGGGTGTACGTCAACCAGCCCATCTCTCAGGTATACAAAATAAACCATATACAGTATATATATATATATAAACCATATTTAAGGCAGGTTCTTCTTGCTATTTAAAAAGCTTACATCATACAGTTTGCTGTGTACGATAGGAGCTTCTGCTGTGTTTCTGTTACAGCAGATAGCAACATTGTGAATAACAAATGCAATCCTTCATCAGTTTGGATTTTTTTTTTTACAAGACTCTTGCATGTCCTTGGGGCTAATCATGCTTATGGGACCACTCCAAATGGCACAGAAGCACTTCAAGGAAATTATGTAATTTCATATTTCCACTCAAGAGCCCCGTGCAAGGCTAGCGATGAACTTTAGACCACAACTAAAACAACATGCTTCTTCTCCCAGTACACGGCCAGAAAAGCAAGTATATTTGCATTCAGGCACTTTATTGCTGACAATGAGGGGGCAAAAGTCCAGTGGCCAGTAGCAGACAGCCAGGCAGAATATGTGATAATGTCTTCACTGGAGCCTTTTCCTTGGCATCAGCAGAAGTAACATTGCTGATTTTTTTTCCTCACTTCACTGCCTCTAACCCTTTGCTTCACTACCAGCAAGAAAAACAATCTTTGTGGGAACATGAACAAGCAATAGAGGAAATTGTCACGTAGTGCGCACAAAAGAAGTCTGTGCCTTAGATGAGCGCCACAATGATAAAAGCCAAAAAAAAAAGCAACAACTCACCATCTTCTAGTGCAAAGAGAAATGAATGTCTGTATCCTCAGCACCTGGCATCTTACACTAACACCTGGCACCATGCCAGTATTTTTGCCTGAGAGAATGGTTTCCTAGAACATATCCATGTTTGAAGATACAAAACTTGCCACTAATGAGGATGACTGCATAAAGTATAATACACATGCAGACACTGCCTACATGTCAATTTCAGCCTGTGACAATCTCAGTTGTCTTAATTGCTAAGAGCAAAGATTGTATTTTAAAACTGCAAAACTACAAAAATCTTGAAAATTATGAAAATTATGCCAATTAAGTCAAACTGAGTGTATAAATTCTTGCACCCTTTTTACACCAAAATTAGCACATATAAACATTTTTTTTAATGTAGGACTCCTTTCACACCGCCAGATGCTTGCCTTTCTGTTCAAAAAGCCACACACAACTGCAGGGAGCAACGTCACCAAGTGCCGAGGACACACACACACACACACACACACACACACACACACACACACACACACACACACACACACCCACACGCGCAGATCCAAAGAGTGAGCTGCTAGTTGCCGTGCAGACTCCTAAAATAGGTAAGTCGTGTCTCATCCCCGGGGTGGGGCTCCTGTAAGTGTCGGAGCCTACACGTGAGATGCTTTGGTCGGCAATTGTGTGTTTTTAAAACTTATTGAGTGCAGCCCCAAGCAGAGCTTACTCTCTGCAGAAGGTGTAGCCTCTGCCCTTCTGATGTAACAGCACCGTGCTGAGGAGGTGACAGGTCTGTTTACGGTGTTTGTGCTCTGTAAGACTCCACAGTAAGGCGATAAATTTGTGTGTTCATGCGGGAGTTGTGTTTACATCACTGCCTATTGAAGCCGATAAATATCCGTGATTACTGCAGAGTCATTTGAACTGGGACTGAATGCTGATTGTACCCTTTGATAAGAGCCTGATGTCAGCAGGTCTTAGCAGGTTTTTTGACCAGTGTAAATTTGATTTGATTTATTTATTCGCACACATAAAACATTACAAATACAGTGTATATAGTTTTTTTATGAATTGGATATGCAGGTGAGGTAAAAAAACTCATCAAGGGCTTATGTTAAACCTCACCTCGAGGGGCTTTGGTTAAATTATCTTCTTTAGTTACTGAAACAGACAATTTCCTCTGATTACAGTGGCTAAAGCTAATTGCTTTTGTAAGGGTTACACAACTTTGTTGCTCCACAGTGCCCTACAATCAATACAATTATCTTAAAGTATTTTTGTTTTTACCTGGATGCAGCCAGTCATTTTTTTTCTGCACGGAGGTTTGGAAAATGGATAGCTTGCTGAAATCTGTGTGATCTAGATTCACAATAATAATGGAGGCTGTAATTATCACTGTTTCAGACTAATAGATAACTTAATAAAAACATACCATCAGGTGATTTTCTCTTCTTTTCTCTGCTCTTTCTCTTTGTGGACTTTCTGCCACAGAGGAGCTACATCACCAGGGAAATTGTGGCTACGGATGGAGGGAACAGGAGCAGTTCAGTGGAGCTGGCTGTCACCATCACCAATGTGAAGAATCAGCCTCCACAGTGGGAGAAAGACAGCTACAGCGTGGTCATACCGGAAAACACTGTCCGAGACACACCCATCGTGGTACGTTGGGATGGGGTTGGGGTAGCTGCCAGTAACAGGAAGCAGATGCAGAAGACTGAAGGATCCACTCCCTAGCAAACACATAGGAAGAGTCTGTGTACATTTTTAAAATAGAAAAACAGGCAAGGTATGTTCATGTATTTAACAAACAAGGGGGTGGTGGCCTAAAGAGAAACATATTTGTGACTGGGTGGAAGTGACCACATAGGTGCTCTTGAGCAAGGCCTTTAACCTCCACTGTAAAAGAGGGCTTGACTTTCTGTGAAATTTTCCCTGGATGAATAAAATCAAAAATAAAATAAAAAAAGGGCAATTTAAAGTTCTTGTCCTCCACCTTGACCCAAAACACAAACAGTAGTCTTTAGCTATTGGCTGCACTCAGAAAGGTCAGTGCAGCTCAGTGCAGTGCTGCATATATACAGTATTACGATAGAGGAGGCAGTTTTTTTTTTTTTTTTTTTTTTGCAGTGATATGATTACCAACTAGGAGAAAGCAGTGACAGACACCTACACCAAAAATAAATTGTCTGCAAACTGAACAAAAAACTTGATATCTTTATTAATTCGACATAAAAATAACAATGTTTGACATCCTGGTGTAGAGCGAAAACACACAATAGTACTGTAAAATTCCTGGCTCGGTTTTTACAGAGATGCTTGTTGCTTTCTAACCCCTTATTTCCCCTTCCTCTCTACAAAAAAAAAAAATCTAGGAGCAACAATCAGTTTTGTGTAACATTCAACAAAACAAAACCCTGAACTCCAACCAATAAAGCTTTATTATTTCACAATTCAGATATTCAGTATACTATCAGCTGGATTTGATTATTCATGGACATTGCCTTTTAATGCCACTAACACACTGTCAACTAATCAACAGATTTCTCCCAGGATCTCTTGAAAGCAATTAAATCCATTAAAGTTGCTGATGAATACTATTAAACAAAAGATGGAAATAAAAAGACAGAGGAGAGTACTTTACCCAAGAATGCGTGTATGTGTTTAATTGTGCTTGTGAGAGATGCTGATAAAGGGAGGGAGAAAGAGGGAGACTGTGGTCCCTGCAGTACAACATATTAATTGAGATGGCAGTTCATTGTTGATTTGACTGTTATGCAAAGATGCAGTGACTCTCAGCGGGCTGTAATAGCTCTACTGTGGAAATCTGAGGTTTTTATGGCCCAAATCAGCTCATACAGTAGTCAGGCATGTTTGCCAGTTCTGCATGCCTAATAGGGTGTCTCATTACTGTAGCTGCTATGCTCCGCAGGTTGAATGGATACAGCTAGGTCACCCGTAGGAAAGCTGCATCACGTCCGAGATGGCATTTTTGATTTTAATTGGGGTGTGTGTGGCATCAGCTTTGAGTAGCCTCTCCTTAATTAGTTTAGGGAGAATGCATGATCAAGAGCAGAGAGCATTTCTATTTGATCCCACAGGATTTCAGCAGATTGTTGTCTAGTCTAACAGTTTGAGACTTACTGCCTTAATATTTTAGTGTTCATTATTATAGGCTGTAAAACACTTTTTTCCATTTGGGCAGATCATTTGTCACTGTTTACAACGCACACTTCCATTGAAGCTCAGCTGCTGCTGCCCTCTGTTCCATCCCTGTCCTGAGGATCACTGCTGGGATCCAGCATTTCTCCAGCTCTCAGAACTGATAATTGGAAACAAAATTTCTGTCAAATGCAAATTACTGGCTGTTTTTAGGAGCACTTACACAACAAAGTGATCATGGGTAATTAAATTTACTCTAAAAAAATGGGAAATGACAACTACATATGTGAGAGGTGGTGACATGGGTTTTCACTGGGTTCAGTACTGGCTGTAGACATAGATTGAAGGTTTTACCTTCAATGTTAAACTCTCCTTGTTTTCTGCGTACACAAACTGATGAAGCCTCTTGGATGAGAGGTGAAACGTCTTCCCAGACAAATAATCAAGTCCAGTTGCGTTTTGATTTAAAACTCCTTTAGGATACCATGACCTGGACAAATGAGAATATGCACAGGCTCTCCTTGTCTTTGTTTAAACAGACCATCAAAGCCACATCCCTGCTTGGGGATCCCAGGGTGACTTACAATTTGGAGGACGGTATGGTTCCAGAGACAAACATGCCAGTTCGCTTCTATTTGACCCCCAACCGAGAGGACGGCTCGGCCTCCATCCTGGTGGCAGAGCCCCTGGACTATGAGACCACCAGAAACTTCATGCTGCGGGTTCGAGCCCAGAACGTCGCCGCTGTACCACTGGCAGCCTTCACCATGGTCTATGTCAATGTCACAGGTGGGCCTTTTTATAATTGCTCCTTATTTTATTTATTTGTTTTCTTTGAAGTAATTTTTCATTCCCCCACTATACTTTACATCATATACTAACACCGTTTTGGTCCTGCGTAATAATTTAACATTCATCTAAATGCATTGTTGTGACAGACGAAAGCTGGTTAATTGAAAGGGGAAAAAAGCCATTTCACTAAAATGTACAGCTGTGTTTGTTTGTGTACTGTTGTGTAAAATGAAAGATTTTTTGGAGCTTTGTGTAATAAAGTTCATTGACTATGCAGCAGCACCTCACACAACCCTACATCAAATAACCCGAACTATCACTTAAAGGGAGTAGGGGACAATTGGGTGTTTGATTATTCAACTTCTGATGTCTAAGATATAAGCTAATGGAAGAGCAAAATGGATTTTACATGGTTAATTTGCAAGATGGGCTTAATGGACTTTTTAGAGCATTAATAACAAAAATAGAACAAACTTGCACACAGTCGAACAACATAAAGCACTATGCTTATTCAAAAGCTAAAACTGAATGTGATCATGACCCAGTTAAGGTCTACATAACAAAAATGCCAACCCAGAACAGGTTACCGACACACATCAGTTTTCAGTATTTTCACCTAATGTGCTTTGAGTCACTGCAGGAAAGAAATGTAATGTGCTTCTATATTTTTTATTCTCACCATCATTACTAAACATGGACAGTGTCACTGTATTAGTTCATTCTAAACTGCTTCTAAAACATCACAGTTGTTCCACAACGGATGCCATGGAGAGAGAGAAAGAGAGAGAATAAAGAGAATTTGGGAAGAACAGAAGGGTCAGTCGTATCATAGTGCTCTCTAAGACTTGATTGCGTTCTAAATTTCCATTGGACTCGTTTAAATCTAGGATTCCAATGCTACACAAATCCAAATTATTTTCAGAGCTCACCAGCTGTTGTGAGTGTGATCAGCTCATGAGTGCAACATATATACTTAACCCCACTGCGCCGAGAAATGTCATCAGGGACTCAGAGTCTTGTCCCTCTCCTAGACTCTTTGTTATATCTCATCTTTCGCAAAGAATATCAGTTTTCACCTTTCGATCATTCTCAGTCATGTCTGTCATTATTTTATGGTGCTTCTAAACGTAAATACTAGGTTCATGAGTAACTGTTTCAGTTAATGCTCAGCCCCTGGCTTAAGTTGCGATCATCACTGCTTAATACGTTGGCATTTGCTAGCCGCTGACCTTGCTCCTCAAAATAACTCCCACCCCACATGCCCCACACTGCTCTACCTTTAATCGACTGGTAACATACACGCATATTTCCCCTTCCTCTCTACCACACATGCACACATGCATGTGCATACACACACACACACACACACAGACACACACACACACACACACACACACACACGCACGCTCACCCCATTCCATCAAATTGGTCTTAATCCAGGGAAAAAATAATTAATTCACGCCGACTCTCTCTTGCCTCTCTATCCCTCTCCTAGCTTCCCCTTCTCCTCTTTTCGCTCACCCCTCCTCTCCCTTATCCGTCTTAATAAGAAAGCTCTTTGACTCCTCCAGAGGCAATGCGGCTGAGGGAGGGAGGTCTGTAATGGATTTAAGGCCCCATTTTTAATTCATAGATTAAGACATTTGCTCAGAATAAAGGCAAGGAAAAAAAGGCACATGGAGCTGCATTAGATTTAATGTGTTGCTCTATTCAAGTCATTTCTGTAATGCTTTTGGCCTTAAATCAACTATGTTAAAATCTTGCCTCTGCTATTCAAGCAAACTTTAGAGTTCACATTCTGTCTGGCTGCTACCTGCTGTGACCCTCCTCTTGATGCCAATGGGACTTGGAAAATAAAACTACAACAGCAGAAATGACATGAATACATCAGTTGTCAGAGCTACAGTGAATACGTGGATTAACAAATGAATGGACTGGCCGTGCTAATACTGATCCCTTACAATGTTCTCATTTCCCAGGTTATATTTCTCACAAATACACCCTAAACAGGTTAAACATTCATGCAAACTAGGATGAATTCTTATCATGTTCTTGCCAGCAGCCAGACTTGAACATTATATGGGATATAGATTCCCAGTCTTATTCCAGTAGCTGCAGGCTTGCATATTGATGAAAGTCCAATACCAACTGCGATCCAGGATGCTAGGAGGACTGAAGCTGCTCTGAAGGCCAGAGGTGCACCAATAATAAACAGCTTTGTTAGTCATTGCCAGTTATTTTCTTTAAATGTATTCGCTACCTACAGAATCACCTTTTTAAGAGGTCTTCTGGGAAAAAAAGAAACGCAGAATGATGATGTAGTTCAGACCGCAAACTAGAACTTGAAGGCTCTGCAGACACCAAAACACTGCACATTGGTTTATAATACATTACAATGATTGTGAAATAAACAGGAGAAATACAGCTTTCACATTGTAAGGAAATCTGACAGGAATGAGCGCCTGCACATATTGCACATATTACTTGCACATATTTGATCGGCTGATGATAAATCATTGTAAAAGTTCACATATTGTAGTATTTTAGTTTATCTTAGATTAGGCTTTTTGTGGGGATGAGAAATTTACAAAGGATCCAACGATGAAGGGCTTTACATTGAAGTGTAAAATGCAATGTGAAGTGCCGCCAGGACTAGAGAAATATGCTCTGTGCATTTGGTGTTGCCCAGAAATCATCCTGGTGCATTCTGGTCCAGATGCTGATGGTCTTTTGCATAATCATTTAGACACATGAACAAAGAAGTGAAATAATCTAGGATTTGGTCGGTTTTATCTCCAGGCAGTGCTAATGTAATTTTAGCAACATTTCTTAGTCGTCGCAGGAAGCAGGAAATAGTCAGGGACCAAACCAGGACAGACAGGCTCATTAACAGTGATCAGAGGACAGTGGGCAGAAGACAGAAGTATTTTTGGTGGTAGAACATTTAGATTAGATGAGCGCAGATGGATGTGAGGCGTAATGTTAAGTAATTCATTTAAATAAATAGAGGTAAACCAATTTAACAGAATTGATGAGGGGTCAGCAACAGGTAAACAAGAATTTGTAGGCTGATTAAAGGGCTTTGATGTGTTCTTTCAACAAAGTCGTCTAAGAACATTTGACATTCAGATCATTTGAAGGGTTGGAGTTCACTACTCTGCCATTTGATTCTAAAAGAATTCTTGAATTATGCTTCCTAGATGTAACAACATTTGAAAATACGAGTTGACAAAAGGCCTAATGGGAGAGGTTTGGCTCATTGCAGACACACAATAAGAAGGAGATTACGTGTACATAAGCGATTTTTGTAATTACAGTAATTGTCAGAGCTGTTTACACAAGGGTTGTGTTGAATTGAAACAGTACTTCCAATATGGTGGGAAACTACAAGCTGAGCTGAGTGTTGTCTGTTTTAAAGATATTTCCATGCTTGCTGCCATGTGCTGTTTCTAACCACTGTTAATCCAAAAATACAATATATCTATAAAATAAAAGCCACTACTTGGAATACTTGCTATAACTTATCTGTTTATGTGATAACTGTACTACCCATTTACCCATTTATTACCAACAATAAATGGGTATTGAGAATGGCCAGATGGATGTAACTTCCCCAGTGCTACAGGCATTTCAGGCCTCGCATAGAGCCCATCAATCTTCTCTGATCTTTCTAGCAAATTCACCAGACATATAACGCAAAAATGAATTTTGGGTATATACCCTAAGCACACTCTCTCTTCCTGTCCTCTTCCTTCTCCAGATGTAAATGACAACGTCCCGTTTTTCACTTCCTCCATCTACGAGGCCTCGGTCACTGAAGGGGCAGAGTCCGGAACTTTGGTTTTCCAGGTCTCAGCCAATGACCTAGACTTGGGTCTCAATGGCAAGGTGAAAACAGATCTGTACATACACTCAGGCACAAAAACCGTGGTAGAGGTGGTGGTGTTGCTCTTTCACTGTGCTCTGTTGAAAGGAGTGGTTAGAACTCATTTCCTTTTCAATACATACACTCTATTATCTTCAGTCTTCCTCTGTTTTTGATTATCAAAAAGGTGTAAATTAGCAGTAATTACCTGTTCTTCACCACTTGACCCTCTGTAAAATGGTGTCTGCCCCAACCAGATCTCCTACTCCCTGCTGGAGGATCGCAGTGGGGACCACCAGTATTTCCGTATTGACCCAGAGCTCGGATTCATCTACTCACAGACTGTGTTTGACCGTGAGACCAAAAGCTCCTACCTACTGGAGGTTCAGTCTGTGGATGGCTGGGAGTCGGCACGGCCTGGCAAACATGGACAGCCCAACTCTGGTAAGTAAGACTGACACTACTCAGAACGTCCTTCAACTGAACCGATGGTTCAGTTCAGATCTCTGTGGTGTTTTTGCCGTATGTCAAGTGAGTGTTAAGAACAGCACTTGTAAAAGCTGTTATGAAGTGTTGAATTGGTGAGCATTGCTGTGTTGTAGCATAAAGAGTAGATCCAGCACACAGAGGTAAAACTTATTATAAAACATGGGAAACATTTAATATTTCAATTACCCCCGACAATTTTTAACTGTAAAATTATGTGATAAGAGGTGAGTCACTTCTGTAATACAAGAAGTATGTGGACACCTGAACATCACAGCCATATGTGACTGTTGAACATCTCATTAACCTGCTGCTATAACAGCCCCCACTCTACCTGGAAGGCTTTCCGCTTGATTTTGGAAGCTGTCTCAAGTGGTTTTCACCCATTCAGCCACAAGAGTGTTGGTGAAGATGGCCTGTGATATTAGGTAATAAGGCCTGGCTCACAGTCCAGGTCAGGGATCTTTACTCAGTCAAGTTCTTCCACAAAAAAAAACAACAACTGGGAAAACCATTTCTTTATGTATCTGCTTCTGTGCACAGAGGTGTTGTCATGTTTGATCAGGAAGTTGTCTTTTCAAAACTTTTACTATATATTTTGAAGCACACTATGTCTAAAATATCATTGTACCCTTTATTGAAGCAAATCATTGCCATAATATTATGAATCATATCAGCAACTGAAAACCACATTTTGAGATTTAATCACTCTTAAATACTTGGTGTTAAACGTTAAATACCTCTGAATTTCGGTTTAAGAAAATATATTTCTTTTCATCATTCTTTCTTTTCTTTCATTGCTTAACTTTTTATATATTCAAAACCTATAGTTCTAGTTCAAAGCTTCTCTATTTCAATAAGCTTAATTCAACCCAGACCCTCCAAAAATTCAAGTCGAGGCAAAAACACTTTGACACTAAATGTCAAGGTTTAAATTCTGATTTGAACAAAATAACCCAAACATAACATAACCCGAACCCCAGTGGCGTGCAGTGGCTTTTATGGATAGGCACGCAGAGCCAAACAACCACCTTACGATTAAGAAAGAAAAGACTGTTGAAGTATTTTTCTAATGCGAAAGCTTAGTTTCCACACAAATCTGTGCATGTGTATAATGCTGCAATATCATAATTGATCTCAGAACAGTGGAAGCTGAGTCAAGGGCAGCTTGATAAGCACACTTTGGCTGTAGCTAATCACCAGTCAAAGAACCCTCGATTGTTCTCAATGCTGCTGCGCTCTCTCTCGACAAGCTCCGACGGGACACGGTCACACCCATGAATATGACATAATCGACAGCTGGTAGTCAAGCTAGCTTCGATAGAGAATAGCCTGCCGCCACCACAAATGGGCAGTAAATTACATGATGGATGCAAACAAGCATAAGATCCTTTATATTCTAAGATCAGAATGCAAGGAGAGATATCGCTTCCACTATCGTTCTCCTTGATGTCTATTTTTAGCCTCAGCTGAGCAAGTATGTCACTGTCTAACCCTGACCCTGATACCAAGGAAAAGCAATCAAGCCTGAACTTATGTAGCATTAACATTTCACTTAACTGAAAGTAAAGGGCTTAGCCCAAACCATGGACTGCCTCAGGAAATGCATCCATCAAACAATTGAAACTATGCATTCAGGCAGGTAGTGTTTTCCTAACAAACCTAGTTTTCCCATTAGACGTCCAATTAGTGAAGCATCATTCATCACACCAAACTAGACATCCCAGTGCTCTAGGGTCCAATCACAGCATGCTTTACACCTGTCCAACCAATGCTTGGCATCACACACGGTGATCTTAGCTTTGTGTGCCACTGCTCGGCCATTGAAATCCATGTCATGAAGCTCCCCACAAACCATTCTTGTGCTAATGTTGTATCCGGAGGCAGTTTGGACTGCTGCAGAGAGTCAGTCCTGTTCTGTGAGCTTGTGTGGCTTCCCACTTCACTGCTGACCTGTCACGGAATTTGATGAAGAGACATATTGGAGACTCGATATCCTTTGACACCTCCACATTAAAAGTCAGTGAGCTCTTCAGTACAACCCATTCTGCTGCACATGTTTATAACTTCAGATTTCCTGGCTGTATGCCTGATTTTTTTTTTTTTTTGCACATCTTAGCATTGGCTGATGCAGCTGAACCCACTAACCCACATACTTTATTCATATAACGTATCAAATAATGCTGCAGTGGCTTAAGTTACAAAATTTTATTCAGCAGTTGAGGCAATTGCATTGAATACAATGTAGTTGCTTCCAATGCAAATGCACCTGAGGAAAAAGAAACACCTAAATTCCAATCAGAATGTGTATAAACAAGGACTTTTCATGTGTACACCACCCCACATTTTACCTCTGGGGTTTCTTTCCGAGGTATGATCTGTAGTAGTAGTTCATTGCAAACATGAGCTCATTACACCAGTTATAGAATCATCAGCTTTCATCGAAAAATGCAAACAGATAACAGTAATTGCAGAAATGATTCAGATTCTGTTGATACCAGAGTTGTTATGTAGTTTATTTCTTGAATGTGGCTGCTGTTATATGACTAAAAAAAAAGAGGACAAGCACAAAGGGGGAGAGAGTTACAGACAGCTGCTCTGTAGGCTTCATTTAAGGCTCCAAATGTTTATTGAAGGCAGCGATAATCTCTGTTTTCCTCTTTCTGTCTCTTTCCCACATCTGTTCATCTCTCCCGACTGAAGGACCAAAGGCCATCTTTCTCTTTCAGTCTGCTCCCTCCTCCATCTCTCCATTTCTCTCTCATTTGCTGCCAGATGAAATGCATACATGCTCCGATGGTAAAATAGAGACATGAAGAAATGAACAGCTGTTGAGACAGATGGGTGGTTGGAGAGAGGTGTTGAAGAAACAGCAAGATGGACCAGGATATATTTTTAATAAATATGATCATGGATTATTAACCGATCCTCTCTCTAGGTTTGGCTCACACAGCAACGTAAACAGAAGTTAAATATTAAGCAGAACAGAGACTGCGAGACTGCAGTAAAGCTGAGGGAGTTATTCTGTTTATTAATTTATATCTCTGCTATGAATATTAAATGAGGTGGCATGAAGAAGGATGGGTGACAGGAAAATTAACAGATACTTACCCCGGATGCACACATCAAAACACACGCACAACAATTATTGTCAGTCTCTGATATAACGATTTCCACAGGGAGATCATCTCAGTGTGTCATGAGTGAGTTTTACTCTACAGTCTTTTAAAACTGTAATCAAACGTACCTCAGCGGATCTTGAAAGGCTGATACCCTCAAAACTCCATCTTGATTCAGGCTCAAAGAAACAAACAAAACAGAACAAAATATAGAAATAAAATACAGAAAATACAGAATAAAAATCTGATCAGTAAAACCAGGGTGGCCTGTAGTCTTCCTCGTTAAAAAGAAGGCAGAATATCAAGCTACACCTATAATCACAGATGAAAAGGGGAATACATTCATTCAGATTATTAAAAATCTATTTTAGAATGATAGACCTGATATAAATCTGATTTATACTCTGACACTTCCAAAATCAGAGGCTGTTTTTCTCTCCTTTTCATCTTCCCTTTGTAACAGATGATGGGAATCTGTTGTCAAAGCCCTGATCTCCAAGACAGAAATCATTTTGGTTATTAAGACTGGACATTATTTCCAGGATACTTGTGACCATTGCTGGAATTGAGCTCATGCTCCAAAGTCCCAGCACCTCTGATCTAACCTCCTGGTGGATAGTTGTATTTAGCCAAGCTAAAAGTATATATACTGATTCATCCCCCCCTGCAAACATTATGCCTCTGCTGACAGTCCTTCTCATCGTAATTGCTACTTAGGCCATTAATTAGTTACATATTTTGATTTGGTTTTATTTGAATTCCACTTGAATATATATTAACACTTGACAACTTCATAAAAAGCTTGTATCCTTCAACTGTGTACAATAAAGTCCCAACTGTGCACAACTTCACAAAAATAAAAACTTTCACTGCAGTTATATGTTGCTCATTAATTTATGTGTATTTTTACACAGAGAGACTTCACTCTGGACTACACTGACAATACTAGTATACGTTATCTAAGATAAAAGCTCCATGCCACACAGCTCCCTACTGTTACATTTTTTTTATTCTTATTCAAACACTGCTTATTATGTGGTTTGAGGGACTGTTACTTTCATTGGTTTTAGGAGAATCACACAGGTTTCATTAACTACAAAAGACAATGTGCAAAGTGAATAGAGAACACCATTCAGATTTTTCTGACACAGAAGCATTACGGTCTCATTGTTTCACTGGATTAAGAAAAAGCAGAAAAAGCATTTGACCGTGTCAAATTTGACTTCGTTGAAAATTATCTGTGGCTGGACAGAATTTTCTGTAATGAACCTCATGCCGCAGTATTCACCAAGAGGCTCCATCAAGATCATGTTAGCAGGGCTGTCAGCTCTCACCGCTTTCATTACTATGCGAAAGTACTGATTGTGTGTTCATGAGCGTTTGATAGGTCTTTGGTTTTGTGAAGATACTTCACCAGTGTGTCTCAATACTGAAGCTTCGTATTTGATATACCTTCTTTTTGAAAAACATGTCACTCTGACAACTTTGATAACTGTCAAGGTTAATTCAGTTTGACTTTGCACATGTACACATACATACACACATGCCAAACACCAATAGATGTTGCAGACTAGAGGAAAGCAGTATGTTGTCAAGTGGCTGCAGAAATAACCTTGATAAACACTGTTTTCAAAGGCAGAAAACAGGCTCTTCTACTACTTACAAGTGTGCGGGTGGGGTTTCGGGTGTGATTTTTACACGTACGTGTCTCTAGAAGTGTAAAAACATGGATGCGGGGACGATGCTGCTACATTTGCTTATCCACTTTCTGTGTTCTTCCTCCAGCCCTCCCTACCTTTCTCTGTCTCCCTCTGACTGATTCTGAACACGTGCAAAGCCCTGGCATCTGCGACTTGTTTTGTTATAGCTTCAAGGGCTGCATTAGTTTGCTATCTGTGCTATGAACTGTATACAATCTCTTCCACCCTGGCTTAAATAATTTATCTCATCTTGAAGCGTGTATTGCAAATTATGCTCGTTTTGATACCAATATCAAAGGAAGTGTAAGATGTTGGGTTGCTCAACTACCAAGCCTTACACTGATGCCCCTAGGGTGCTTTGTTCCTCATTTCAGCCCGCGGTTGGATGGTGAAGAAAAGAAGAAACAGCTGGATTTTAATGTTAAAAACCGACAGAAATACCAGACACAAATGACAGATATAATAGAAAAGTGGTAGACATCAGTGGAAGGAAGGAAAAAAAAAGGATGTAATTTTTGTTTTTGTCTCTGCATGCATGAAGAAATATCTGCTTTCCCATATGTGTGTGCATGTGTGTGCACACTGGTGGAAAGTGACTAAATTGTTGCTTTCCAAAGAGATAGACAGATGTTAATGTTTACATTGACAGAATAAGAACAACCTCATGTTTATAATCGTCTTACTCCTCTCTCTCTCTCTCTCTCTCTCTCTCTCTCTCTTTCTCTCTTTCTCTCTCTTTCTTTTTTTTTTTTTTTAAATTTCAGACACGGCATATGTTCGCGTTTTTATCAGTGACGTGAATGATAACAAGCCTGCATTTGCACAGACATCCTATGAAGTTGATGTGGATGAGGACGCTGACGTAGGCTTTGCCATTGTCACCGTCAGTGCCAATGATGGGGACGAAGGTAGGTTGCATGAATAAAGGAATATATGAATTTTTACACATCACACATATATATATATATACATATATATATATATATATGTATATGTGTGTGTGTGTATTTATGTATAGTGGGAACACATTTACTCAGGCACACAGGTTAAGTTCTGTTTTTTCTCACTCGAGAAATTTTCACTTTTTACTGCTTTTGTCTGACCCCCTTTTACTTTGAAGGATATAGTTTGCACTACAAAACATGTTATGAAGTCATGAAGCGATTTGTGAGTTTTAAACAGCCACTGTAGATGAACCCATTTAATTTAACCTTTCAGTGGAAGGCAAAGGGAGAAGCTCTCAAGTGTTGAAATGTGTACTTTCACATTTCATGTTTTTGACATCTAAACATTTTTTTTTTTCACTTTAGTCATCTTCTCACTGTTAAGATGTGGCTCCCCCAGAGACACAGACTGCAGATGGTAAATGTCCTTGGAATCGCTGGACGTGTTTCCCATTAAATATCCAAACTGAGGTCAATGGAAAAGTGGCAACATTTTAAAATGACCTAGTTGTTTTTTCCCCAAATTTGAGCAGTCTGGACTTGAAGTTGTATATAGTAGTATGGCAAACGATTCCCAGTCCCACACCTGATCGTACGTTACCATTATTTGTCAGGGGGATATTATGCGTGATCATGTAGTGACATTCTTGTTTATCTTTTATTTTTTAACAAAAAAAAAAAACATTAACATAATGTGTGTTTATTATCTATCTACCAGCGTACTTGAGTTTTATAGGTTCGAAAATGATGAAAAAAAAATGACACAATTACACAACCTGATTTTAAATAAAAACACATTTAATTAAAGTAAAAGTTGTACTTTTTTGGTAAAACGAAAATAGCAACAGGTATTTCCAACAGCCTGAACACAAGCTGCCATTAAAAGTGTGAATGTCACTGCTACTCACCAAGCACAAACAAATTAAAAGCTCATAATAACACTTTGCTGCTGCTCAAAATAAATAAAATATAATGAGTTCAGCAGTCCAACAGAGTCTTATTTGTGTCTGATGAAAAATAAAGCTTAAAATATCTTCACATTTCAGAGGATGTAATTAATATTTTCCTCATACATTATATGATATATATGATGGTTGCCCATCCGCTGTTAATCAGAATGTTAATTTTTATCACCCGATCCTCGGATATAACTGTGATCCACGCATTACTACTCCACTGCTCCACTACTCAACCTCTCTTACTGTAAAGTTGCATATGCTGTTCCTGTGTAAAACACAGTCCGACCAGTTTGTCTGAATGAAGCTAGTAACAACACAAGTAAGATTTATTAACCTGACATTTAGTAAGAAAGGTATTTTTCTATCTAGAATTTATCTAACTGGTCGACTTTTCCAGTGCACATGCCTTTTAAGTGATAGTTTGGGTTATTTGATGTGGGGCTGTGTGATGCAATGTATTGTCTGCACAAGATTTAAGTCATGGCTCCCAGTTTGGAGAAGCAGACAGGATTACTGGCACAGAAGCTGAGCAATGTGCTGTTGTGGACAGGGACAGCAAAAAAAAAACACACCCCCAACTTTCCTGCAGCAATGAAAGTAAATGAAACCTTTAAAGTTAATGCGAACAATTCCTACAGTTCGACTTGTAAACCCTGCACAAAGGCAGTGTTGGAGAAAACTGTGTTACAATAAGTATCAAAGGAAGACAGACTGGTTGGTCGGCAGGTTCATCCTACAGATAGATAATGACAGGACCAAACGTGATCTAAGAGAGCACGGTCTCCACATCTAAACCCCATGGAGCTGGTTTGGGATGAACTGGACAGAAGGTGAAAGCAAAGCAAACAGGTGTAACAACCTCTTTGAACAATATTTTATTTCCATCGTTGGACAGAAGCCGTGAGCGTGTTTGGCTGCTGGATGAGTCAGAAATTCAGATTCAATGTAGTTCAACAAGAGGTGATTGATTCCTTCTTTTAAAATGTCCAATTGCTTATTTTTTTTTTCTATGCTTTAATTTCAGAAACGCTGAGACACTGAATTACGTGAATTTGAAATAACAGCTGAATAAATGTAACTGTCTTAAAACTTTGGAGCGGTAGTGTAGGTCTGTGGTGGAACATGCCGAGACACTCAGCTGTCACAGCCGGAGGCAAAATGTCAGCTCATGACAGAAAAGACAAGACCATTATTACTCTGAGGAATGACAAGTCTCTCACATGTTTGAGCACGGTGGCTTACATATCAAAAGTGCAGTAGAAACTGGGTAGGACTCTGATTAGTTATTGATCAACAACACAATCAAATCAAGTGACTGTAGTTTGCAAGGAGTGACATCAAGATACAGCTGAATAAAAAAAAAAAAAAAAAAAACTGTTCTCACTTCAACAGAGCAGAGAAGACTTTGAAGTAAGGCTGCTGGCTCTTTATTTAGCCATCAAAACAGAGCGAAGATACTTGTTTGATGTAAAAAAAAAAAAAAAACACAAGAACTGGACTATTGCAAAATGGAAAAAGGTACTGTGAAGGTACATTCAGCTTTCTCACTAGCTAATTGCTAACTTTGGGGCTGGGCAAGTAGCGCAGTGTTGTAGCGAGTTTGGCTGGACCGCTACATCCCTTTAAGTCCGTGAGTGAGAACAAACTTAACAATACTTGTTATTAGTATTTTAAATTAAAGTAATGCTTTTTAATATTTAACTTGCTGTTTATGTGGTACCCTAGTCTCTGTCACACAACATATTTGAAATGGTATAGCGTTGCTGCCACTAAGTGGGTCTCCATTCAAATGTAATGCAATCTCGTTGAGGTAAACAGCCGTTGGTACTAATTTCCCAGTTGGGTGCATTGGTGTGTGGTGACTTTTACAGATAGGCAAGCAGAGCCAAACAACCAACTATCCCCTCCCTCCAAAAAACACCACCTCAGTGTGAAATTCAGGTGTACTACACAATGGGAAAATGTATACCAGGCTAAAACATACATTTTAATGACAGCAGTAGCAAATTTCTCTTAAATTTGGGCTCTGTCCTGTCCTGTCCTGTTTTGAGCTGACTTGTCTTTCCTGTGCTGATAGTCTCCTTCCTGCATCTTGCTGCACTCTGCCTGGACATCGTCACCTTCCTGCACTTCTTCCTAGCTGATGAATTATCAGCATGCCACTGGTTGGGGGCCATTAAACCATTGCAGAATAAGCGAGTGTAATGAGATGGCGTAATTAAAAGAGTGCCAGTCAAACCTCAAACAGTGGAAAACATGATGGTTTTGCGGCTTTGCCTGCCGCTATTTCTCTTCTCTTCAGTGGATGTTTAAGTCACATAATACATTTTTTATGATATATACTATAAATTTTCCATCTTTGCAATATTTTCAGATTTTTTCAAAATTCTGGCATATCCACTTTATCTTTTAATGTGCATTTTTAATTTGTGCAGGCGGATGGAAACCCACCTACTAACTGCTTAAAAACAGGAAGCCTATAGAGCATTGCAAGATAATCACAAACAACAGCCAGGGCTCCAGTGTGCGACTACCTACTGTGGCTGCATTTTGTGACTATTTTTAGAGATAATGCAACTAAAATTAGATTTGCAAATATGCCCTGTTTTATATACTGTATCAGCTTAATTTCGTAGTTATTTATTACTTGTTTGGAGGGAGGGAAAAAGTGTGTTTGTGTGTGTGTGTGTGTGTGTGAGAGAAGAAGATGGAGACTAATATCAGAGAAGCCCTCAATAGCTTAAAGGACCCTACAGTATGAGCTTTCTTCTTTTGCTGTGTGATGATTGGTTTTTGTGACTCATCGTTTCAACCAGACTACTCCCTCGCTCACTTTCTCTGTCTTCTTGTTTTTTAATAAGGCTATTGAATACTAAAGCAGACCCCAAATTCTGATGACAAGTACAGTTTTCGTGATGATTCAGCAGCAGACATTTCCGTGAGAGATGCCAAAGATATTACTCTTACAAAAAAACATGACTGCAAGTGCATCCGAATGGATTTGCATCTGACATTCCAGCAAAGGAATTATATGCAGCACATGCGTAGAAGAGAGATGAAACAAAAGGTTTCAACTACAAACTGTACGAACTCACCAACCTCTCACCAGTGCAAAGCTAGTGTAACCGTGTTCAGCTGCACTTCACTGGAACTGGTGGGTTCAGGCAACCCCTCGACTCTGCTTCGCGTGTGGAGAATGAGGAGCCGGAGGCTTACTTATCTTTTATATGGCGCCGTTTATTATCCGAACAGGAACAGAATATGTACTGGTCAGACATACAGTTGGCTCGCTACATGTGGCTCTCACACAGCAGTTATTTTAGCTCAGAAGCTAACTAACTTGCTTTAAGAGCACGATATGCCATTGTGTGAACATTTCAGCGCTTAAAAAGCGACCTGCTCGTAACTCTTCTAATGAACATTTCTACAAATCACAGCGCACATACTGTATATGCTCATATGTTGTACATTCGGACATTATTACACGATATTTACACATCTCTCATGACCTGGCAATGTCTCAAGCTGCCAGTGGCTTATAACAACTACCTCCAAGACAGGGCGCCCTTGAGCCAATAAATACAGATATATAAACATAAAATCATGGCAATTACTGCAAGTGGCATCGCATGGAATATAACCTCTGTCACACCGGTCAATATTCAAATTGTCTGTGATGGTGTACAACTGCTTTTTCCACCATCGAGATGCTTTGGTCAGTGTGCTACCTTAGCTGACTTTAATAAGACTTCACCAATAGTTCAGGCTGAATTTGGTACAAATTTACACTAACTTTACACTTTATTTACACTAAGTTGGATCAAATGGTTCACATATGGGGCCCATTATGTGTCTTCTCCTGCATCTGAAAGTCAGTGTTGGATTAAGAAGGGTACCCACACCTTGAGCTGTCATCATCATGCAAACTGATTGAATTCCCCCCAGGGAGAACCTGGACATGGTGTTCATTTATTTACTGTGGCTAGTGTTTTTATAATTAAAATG